AAAAAAAAAAAAAAAAAAAAAAAAAAAATCATGAAGCATCATTAGCCATTAGGGAAATGTAAATTAAAACCACAGTGAGATACCCACGACATACCTATTAGAATGTCTAAAATTTAATAAACGAAACAAACCATAAACTGACAATACAAGTTCTGGGGAAGACACAGAACAACTATAACTCTCATATGTTGCTGTTTGGAATACAAAATAATAGCGTTATTCTGGGAAAAAGTCTAGAAGTTACTTACCAAGTTAAACATACATTTATCATATAACCCAGAAGTCCCACTGTTAGGTATTTACCCAAGAGAAATAGACTTAACATTTACACGAAAACCCGTACGTAAATACTTAGTGGCTTTATCCATTGGAACATGGATCAGTGTCCTCTGAAAGCTGGATTAGGACTGAGTCAGTAAGCATCGTAAGAAATGGAGTCCCTGTCTGGATCTGCAAAGACTACTTGCCCCAGCCCTGACCATTTTATATTGATTGATTAAATTGAACAAGCCACCAAAGCTCAGTGAAGCTCCACTGTACCACACTGCAAGCTGATGGAACCCTGGTCTGAACTAATTAAGCTCCCTAAACAAACTTTCCATGGCTGAAGATCGTCAGTTTTACTGCAGGTGAGCCGATCATAAGGGTTGGGGTAAGACCATAGGTTTTCTGTTTAATTTCTTCTGGACTTTTATACCACTAGAAAACAAGGATATAATCCTTGCTACTGGCCAGGTTTTTGAGACTTTGTAGCCAATGTGGCAACTCTGTTCTCCCACATGACTCATAATTATGGAAAAATACTAATTGCAAAACTTGGCTGGCTTGTTAGCTCAGTTAGAGTGCAGTGTTGTAACACCAAGGTCAAGGCTTTGCATCCCCTTACTGGCCAGCTGCAAAAAAAAAAAAATCCAATTGCAAAACCTAAATTGAAAAAATAATGGTGATGTTCTTTTACAGATCTTATCAATATTTATATGAACAAAATTTGACTTGGTTTCTGTTTCAGATCACAAAAATGGACAACACTTTATAATACCTCAAATGGCAGACAGGTAAGGCCATAGATGTACCAATCAATTTTATCTGTCACTAGTATTTCCTTGGTTGTATAGTATGTAAGTGTATTATATTTTGTGTTTAACAAAGCCCATACATTTTTCTCTTTTATGGCTATACAATTTGGAAATAAGACGGCTGTAAGTAAACCACCATATAAAACTTAAGCTTGAAAGAGCACAAGTAACAAGTTTACTGATAAAAAATTGTTACTGTTTTAGCCAGTTGTGATAGTATATTGTGTCTCTAGATTATATTCACAGAATATTTCTGTATTATAAGAGATTATAGTCTTTGCCTATTTACAGGGGTTGGCAAACTTTTTTTGTCAAGGGCCAGATAGTAAATATTTTAGGTTTTATGGACCATACAGCCTCTGTCCAACTACCTAGCTCTGCTGTTGTAGACAAAAGCAATCATGGACACTATGTAAGTGAATGGGCATGTCTGTTCCAATAAAATTTTATTTCTGGACACTGAAATTTGAATTTTCTGTATTTTCACATTTTTAAATATTATTTCCTCCCCCAACCATTTACAAATGTAAAAACCATCCTTAGCTCAGGGTTTGAACAAAAAAAGCCCAGAATTTGCCAACCCCTGGTCCATAAGATAAGATGAGTTCATTGCTGCAGGAATGAACCTTAAGCCCTTATTTAGCCAGTTACCTTTGCACAAATACTGTCAAGAGTTTATGAAATGATTAACTGTTGTTCCAGATGTAATCTTGCCGTTCCGGTTTTTCTCATCTTCCCTTTTCATATTCTACTATTGTGCTTTTTTAAAAAGGCTTCAAAAATTGTGACTTCTCACATAAGGGTCTGGAGATTAACCTGGCAATAGCTTTTTGTTGTTTAGTTAGGTAATTTTTTAAATATTTACCATGTTATATGATTATGGTATCTTTAGAAGTAGTTACTTTCGCAAAATTGTTCTGTTCTAAGTTTCCTCACTTATGCTATTGGGCTATAGAATGCTTGGCTCTGACAGCTTCTACGAGCTCCAATTAATAATTTCATCCCTTGGGTATCTTAGTCTACAGATCTCACAAACATGGTTTTATTTATTTGCTTATTAGTTTTGTACATTTTCTTAGCAGCCTGGATTTGTCTGAATTGGCAAAAGCTGCTAAGAAGAAACTTCAATCTGTGAGTATCTCTCTTTACTGGTGAACTCCAGTGTGGGAATCAATGTATCCTGCCCATACCTATTCTCAGTCCAAGTTACCTATTGCATCAGATGATTTTATTTCATACTTTTAGATGTTGTTAAATTAGAAGACCATTAAGTGTGTAGCAATGAAAATCGAAAGCACTGTTAAGTTTAGTATATCCAGTTCCTTAGCTCTGCCTCAAATAATTCCATTTTCTTCTGTCATGTTAAAAGTGAAAACTGTGCCTTTGACATTAGGAAGTTGTTTCTTCTCATGAGAGTTTCCTGGTTTCTCTACGTGTGGCTAAGTGGGGCATGCTTCCTTGGGATTACTTTCTATAGCCATGTAAAGTGCTCGAGAATGATAAAAGCTGGTACTGGAATGGTGGTGAGTCCCGTTCGAGATCCAGGCACAGTTGTATTCTCTTGCTCATGCCATGCCATTCATCAGAACTTTGTAAATTTATGCCTTTAAAAGCTGGTGGTCCTGGCCCATGTGTACTCAGAGTTTCCCCCGCTCAGTGGGTCACAACCCCACTTGAATCTGTGTATTTCTTTCCAGCCTGCCCACCTCAGCCTTTTCAGGGCCCTGGGAAACCTCCTTCTCTGGGAACAATTTCTCTGTATAGTCCACTCGAGTGAAGCCTCACCAGGGCACTTCACAGCCATTTTAACCACCAGATGAGTTCTCATTGGTCACTGGATCGGAACCAAGATTCTTAACTTCTTTTCATAACCTTTAAGGGCATGATTCAACTCTCACCTTTCAGAGCTTGCCCTGTTTCCCCTCTGGTTCCGAGTGTGTGTGTATGTGTGTGTTTCTTTATGGATTAACACTCTCTGAGGCTGTGAGCTGCCACGTTCATGTCTCCCAGGAACTCTTTTGCTTGCAGTGTTTGCCCTTCCCAGCTTCTATACCTTTTATCATTCAAGGAGCTGAAATCTGACCACCTTTTCCATGTAGGTAGTAGCTGTCCCAAAGCCTAGTTCTAAAATTGCAACTTCCCTAATTTATAACTTTCTCCTCATCCCCCTTTTCACAGAAGACTCTTTACTAGAACTTCATATAATATTAAGTATTAAATATTACATATAATGAATTTATCCTTACTAGTATATAACTGTATTATGAAATAAATGTGTTTTATGCAAAATGTTTGGTGTCTGTGTTCTCTATCTACGGTTTTGTGTGTCTGTGTGTTTTATTACCTTTCTTAAATTAAGGAGGTTGTATAGTAAGATGATAAGCTTTGGAGTCAGATAGCACTAAATGTGTGATTTCTCTTTAATTACTCAATATGTAAGCAAATTTTTATTATAAATAATTCAAACCTAGATAAAACTCAGGTTGCCTTTTACTTTTCTACATTTGCTAGGCTGGAAGCTGCATGAAGGCTGAGGTTTTGTCTGTACTATCTGTAGCATGTGGCAGGCATTAAATAAATATCTGGAACAAATTTTAGCACAGTTCTCAGAATCTGGTACTCTGAGTCCAACTAGTCAGATACACACTGGTCGGCTCTGCCAAGCTCCTTAGCTTCCCTGTGCCTCTGTGTCCTCCTCTAGGAAAGGGAGATGATGCTCCAGTAGGGGCTGCAAATGTGAGCTGCTCAGGAAGGTTGAGTTGGCATAAGGACTGGCTGCCCCCACCCTGTGGTCTGTTCCTCACATGGCTCTTATCAGTTCCAGCAGTGTCCTCCTCTAGGAAAGGGAGATGATGCTCCAGTAGGGGCTGCAAATGTGAGCTGCTCAGGAAGGTTGAGTTGCCATAAGGACTGGCTGCCCCCACCCTGTGGTCTGTTCCTCACATGGCTCTTATCAGTTCCAGCTCGGTGTGTCCTCCAGTATCTTCCTCTTCTTCTTCTGTCCTTTCTTCCCTCTCTCCTTGCCTCCCTGCCTGCCTGCCTGCCTGGCTGCCTGCCTCCCTCCCTCATCTCTCCCTCCCTCCCTCATCTCTCCCTCCTGCCCTCCCTCCCTCCTTCCGTAATGAAAAGCTGAGAGAAATACAACAAAGACTAACATATTCCTTTAATTAGTAAATGTTAACATTTTAAGACACTTAAACTTGGATCTCAGATTCATCACTTACTAGCTTTGTGACTTTAGGCAAGCTACTAACTTCTATGCCTCAATTTCCTTGTCTGTAAAATGGGACAATACTAGTTCCTCTCCTCATATAAGTATTGTAAGTATTAAATAGGATGCTGTTAACACAGTGCCTGGGATATAAGCCCTCAATTAGGGTGGGCTGTTGTAGTTGTTATTAATAAGAACATTAGCTTGTAATCCCTTAGAGGAAGAAACTGGATATTTATGAAGCAAGTTCAAGCTACCAATCTTTTATTATCTTATTTGGCACAGGCTCTCAGGGCTTATTTTATTTTACTTTTATATATGTATTTTTTGGTGGCTGGCTGGTACAGGAATCGAACCCTGGACCTTGATGTTATGAGCACAGTGCTCTAACCAACTGAACTAACCGGCCAGTCCCACTGGGTTTATTTTTAATTATAATTGTAATGTGATCACACTAGAGAAAATTTGGAAAATAAAGAAGGGGAATCATTCTCAGTCATTATACTCTTAATGGATTCAAAAACTCAATGTTTTGGTATACTTCTTTCAGTTTTGATTTCATATGCAAATCTTTTTTAACTGAAAATCATAATTATAGAATTTTATATCCTGCTTTTTTTTTACCTAACATTGTATTGTACCCATTTTAATGTGTTCCTATGAGATCTCTATAGCCAGCATTTTAAATTGCTGCATAAAATACCTTCTTGTCAGTTTGTGAGTGGGTATTTCCTGAGCTTCTCCTAAGTGTGAGGTTGTTCGTGGATGTAAGGAGCACACCTGGGAACATAGCAAGTTCAGCATCTCCTCTCACAGAGCAGGGAAGCAGTCAGTTAAAAAGTCACAACTGCAAGTGTCAGGGTGAGTTTCATGAGCCGAAAAGTGCAGAGAGAGCTGGAGCCACCCTGGCTGGGGCTTAACCTTGTCTGGGTGGGAAGATGTTGATTGTCCTCCCCATAGGCACTTCATTCTGTGTGTGATTGTTCTGTGAGTGACACCATGCAGTGTACTGATTAGTCAGGCCGTGCTTTGTTAGGGAAGCTCAGTTCTGGGGATGGAAGGACTGTTACAGATGAAGAAAGCAAAGAAACCTAACCGAGGTCTGCGTCATGTTTTTGTGCAAGGGGACATTTTGTCCTCTCAAAACAGCATGTTTTTGTTTATTTATCCTACCAAGGGTTTAGGATCCCTTACATTTGGGGAACTAGCAAACGCTCTCATGAGCAGAAGGGCAATATCACAAGAGAAGTAAAGACCTGGAACCCGCTTTTGAGATGATGCACTTTAGATACCTCTGACCTCCTTAATAGCAGTGAGCAACCCTGTCAGTATGTCATAAAGTAGTGAGGCTGCTGTGGGAGGCAGATACTTTTAAAGGATCTGTATGATTTTGAAGATGTATTGTTTGTTTAACAGTGGGTATTTACTAAGCACTGACTTTGGATAAGACATTGGAGATAAAAGGTGAATAAGTCACAGTCCCTTCTCGTCCTCCTGGTGTTAATTGTTGTCCCTTGTGTTCCTGATATTTTTTACTTTCAGCTAAGTAATCATTTGTTTGAAGAACTTGCCATGGATGTGTACGATGAAGTTGACAGGCGAGAGACTGATGCAGGTGACTTAACATGTGGCTTTATCTAATAAGCTTCTGTTATCAGTGGGCAGTGACAAGCTGCCAGCCTCAGTGTTTTACTTGCCCAATTTCTACTGTCCTGATAATGTGTGTGTCAACATTTACCTTTGCGTATGTTGGCTTCAGAGTGTGCTTCCCCAAATCTCCCTAGTAACACGTGAGCCATGCCTCCCAGAGGAGCAGTGGCACATCAGGTGTGATGAGATTCTGTCTCTGGCTCTTTCTTTTGGCTAGTCTGGCTTGCCACGCAAAACCACAGCACCCTGGTAACCGAGACAACCGTCGTCCCCTTTCTTCCGGTCAATCCTGAGTACTCATCAACACGAAACCAGGCAAGTGTCTCAGTTTGAAAAGTATCTAGTAGTAGTATTGGGGGAATGGCTAATGTCATGGTATTTCATTTTGCCAGCACAGGTATTTTAAATTTTTTGATCAATTTAAATTTAGTATCCTTTATACACATATATACAACTCACAAAATAAAATTGATGTAAATAGATGAGTAGGAAAGAATATAAAACAATTCACAGAAGAAATATAAATGGCTTACAAATGTGAAGAAATGTTTAACCTTATTAGTAGTGAAAGAAAACAACCTAAAGGCATTAGGGAAGGTTTCATCAATCAAATTAATAAAATATATAATAAAGGATACTCTGATCTGATAAGGATCTAGCAAGATGGGCTTTCTCAGGCCATAGGGAAGATTTTAAATTGCTGTAGACCTCAGAAAAGCAATTTGTTGGCCAGTTTCAGAAGCCTAAAAATTAAGTAGGTCCTTTTACATGGGAGTTCCTCTTTTGGGAATATCGTCTAATAAAATAAAAATAGATTTGCACACAATGATTTTCATCTAAGCACTGTACATAATAATAGAGCATTAAAAACAGCCTAAGCATCCATCAAGAGGAGAAAAGCTGAGTAAATTAGGAAGTTTTAGTTTTTATGATTAATGGCTATATGTAAAGGTAGAGCCCCCACATCTAGACTATACATTGTCTTGAAATTTAACAATTTCCCTCCAATTGTATTCCTATTTACTGCATCTACTTCAAAACTGAATTAACAATAGAAGAAAAACATTAAGTAGAACCATTTTATTTTTGCTCATAAAAATAAATATTCATTGTGAGAACTGGTTACAAAGTTCTCTTATATAAATGGTTTTAAACTGTTCACATGGAAAATGTTAATGTTTGATTCAGTAAGTTCTTTACAGAAGTCTATCAATAATCTGACTAGTTTTGTGTGACTATGTATATATTTTTACATTGGAGAATATTTCTAATTATTTTCTCACCCTCAGGGCAGACAGAAGTTAGCTCGGTTCAATGCCCATGAGTTTGCCACGCTGGTAATAGACATTCTCAGTGATGCCAAGAGGAGACAGCAAGGCAGTCCTCTCTCTAGTTCAAAAGGTAACTGCTCAAACCTCTAAGTGTTTGCCTTTTTGTCCTTCTAAACTTGACACAAGTGTTAAATGTAATGTTATAAATTAATGAAAGTGTTTGTCAGCTTAAAGTCCTGTAAGTTTTATCGGTAGCATATTATCACCAAAGGTTTACCTGTTAGAGCCCTGGTGAATTAACAATATTTCAAAGTTATTTACTGTTATTCAAATTTATCTTGTATATGATTACTTTCTTTTGGGTCACTTACTTTCCCTATAAAATTGTATCCTGAAATTAACCCAAAAGTCTGACTTAGATTTGTTAAAGGACATAAGAAAGTAAACTCTCTTGATTGAGATTGCATCTCACCTGCCTGCTATTGCTTGTCTACGAAACTGAGTCCTGAATAATTAAAATTTGTTGCTGTAAACTTCAGTGAGAATTATTGTGATTTGTTAGAAAAAGAAAGCATTAAGCATCTGTTTTCAAGGTGCCCTGTAGCTCAGGATCTTATCTCCATTATGCTAAGGAATGTACTTCCTCTCCAGCCCCTACTGTATCTTTATTGGGTTTTTTTTTTCTAATTATAGAAATTACACTTTTTAAATTGTAAGACGTTTAAACAAAAGAAATATGTACCATAAAAACTAAGTTTTCAGTCAGTATCACATTCCCCAAAGACAGTAATCATTAACTGACAACAATTCGTTCTTTCTTTTTGCCTGTTCGAGAATTTGATTTTATTGATTCAACCAGGAATAAAGAAGTTCTGAGAAGGTTTATTAAATTCTGATGAAGATGCAGTGACAAAAATCTTTGCATAAATTTGAAGTCTCAAAATGTGCCTAGTCTGATTTCAGAGTTCCATTTCTAGGTCTTTATGGAATGGAAATAATCAGAGATATTATACATCGCTTATGCATAAAACAGCAGAAACATTAGAAACAACTAAATAATAATAGAACAATTAGTTGCATATTTGAATGGTACGCAGACATCTTTTTTTGGTCAGAGGATATGTAATGATATGAGATAAAGTAATACATTTTTAAGATTTAGTATAATACCAGTTTTGTAAACAAAACATATTTATATATACATATGTACAAGTGAGTACAGTTGACCCTTGAACAACTCAGTGGTTAGGGGTACTGACCCCCTAGGCAGTTGAAAATCTGAGTACACTTTTGACTCCCCAAAAACTTAACTACTACTTTCATTACTTAAGTAGTAGCCTACTGTTAGGAAAACTAGTTAACTGTTAAGCATTCATGACATACCTAACCAACAATTTTTCAATATATTTATTGAAAAAAATCCATGTGTTGTTCAAGGTTTAACTGTATACCAGATGTAAGTATAGATATATTGATTGATTGATTGATTGATTCTCATCTGACGATTCCATATTTGCAAATTCACCTGCTTGGTAAACTTTACTTGTAACCCCAAAGTCAGTATTAAGCACTTTTGAGGTCATTGTCAGACATGCAGAATGGTAAAAAATTCGAGTCACCCAAAGCACACATTACTGGCTGAGACTGAACAGGGCAACTCCCTGCCTTCTTATTACAGCTATACTATAAACAAGTGTCCTTTTCATGGTCTATTTAGTGCCACATTGTTTTTCGCATTTTTGTGCTTTTTTTTTTTGGTGATTTCACTGTTTAAAAATGGCCCCCAAGCATGGAGCTAAAGTGCTTTCTAGTGTTCCTAAGTGCAAGAAGGCTGTGATCTGCCTTACAGAGAAAAATGTGTGTTAGATAAGCATCATTCAGGCATGATTTATAGTGCTGTTGGATGTGAGTTCAATGTTAATTAATCAACAATGTGTTAAACAAGGTGTCTCTAAACAGAAACACACATAAAACAAGGTCATAAATATGTTGACTAGAGGCTCTCAGGAAACTAACCTGTCTGTATTTTCCCTAGGAGCAATGGTTTGGTATTGGCTAATTCATTCTTTACAGCAACACAACTACCAAGAATAACAAGAATTGACTGTGTATATACAAGGGTACTTGAGAAAGTTTGTGGAAAAATAGAATTAAGAGATAATACAAATCTTTCTGTGAAATCTTTGAAGGAGAAAAAAGACTAGAAAGAAATAGATCAGTATAACAATGGCTATAAGTGATTACTCTATCTTCCTTGTTCATTAGTTTCCAAATTTTCTATATGGAATCTGTATTCTGCCACTAGATTTTATGCTTTTAAATATTTTAAAAATTAAAATAGAACCTAGTCCTTTTAAGTAGCCATAATTCATCACCCGGATATTATCCATCAAGATATCTGGAAAACAATATGAGAAATCAGAGGTTAGCTTGAGTTGGCTAAAAGAAATTGGAGAGACTTGGGTAGTTTGTGAAATCTTTTATTCAAAATGTGTGAGATCCTATGGAACCATCCCTGCTCTCCTATGGATGGAAGAGATGCTTTTAATAACATACACATGTGTGTCCATTGGATTCATTCTCCTCTTTGCTCTCTCACTGGGGTTCAGGTAACTGAATGCCAGCATTCCAATTCTTTGATCACCTAATTTCTAGTCTCCGGTTTAACAGTTTGCTTTCTCTTTTGACATGATATTACCTTATAAACAAGTTGCAGGTATAATGGAATTACGGTTCATCTTACATTAATTGCAGCTTTATTTTCATCATCTGGAGCTACACTCTATAGAAACTTGGGAACCTGTCTCCTTAATCCATCTTAATCCTCCTTAATCCTAAACCATCTCCTTAATTTGCCCATATTTGGTAGGTAGATCAGAGGAATGCTTGACTTTCTCTGTGCAGCTGTCCATCTTGTTGATACCTTTTTTTGTTATCCCTATATTGGTGTGACTATAACATTGCTATTTCTGTCATTTTCTTTCAGTCTTTAAATAGCTAAACCAAAAAATCCTCCCAGTAGTGTTCTGGAAAAAAAAAATGTTTTAAGCCTTAAGTAAAGTTGTTTGCTTCTATTGATAGACAATGTGGAGCTTTTACTGAAAACAATCAACAACCAGCACAGTACTGAGAATCAGGACAATGACCAGCCAGACTATGACAGTGTGGCGTCAGATGAAGACACAGATTTGGAAACCAATGTGAGCAAGGCCAACCGGCAGAAGGTGAGAGAGCACACACTTCACACAGAGGGCGAATGCATTTCTTTTAAAAATCTCTGTCCTGCAAAATTGCCTTCTTTATCAGTCACTTGACGGCTAGACCTATGAAAGGTGCTGCGAAGGCAGAGTTGCGTTCACTACTAGCTCGGGCCAAGCAAGGGTGGAACAAGGTAAATGGTTTTAAAATGGGAGTCCTTTGTCCCTGAGTCAGTTGCTGAATCACAGCCCTCCTGCAGTCGTGACTTTATACAACTTGTAAGGAGTGACTGGTGTGTTCTACTCATGCAACAAATGTTTACTGTGTGACTTCTGTGAATGATACTCTCTGAAACGAGGCCTAGTCCCTTTCCTGTGAGGATGTCACTGCCTACAAGGAAAGAAAACTGCAGTACAAGGTACAAAGTGATATATGTCATACAAGACACAAACAGAAGCTGAGGGGGTGAGAAGAGAGAGAACTTTTGGCTGAGGAGTGTGAGAGGAGGCTCTGTAAATGGGATGGCCTTACAATATGCTTTAAAGGACGCATGGGATTTGGGCATGTCGGGGTGGTGGGGAAGAGTGGTGGAGGCAGAGAGAAAGTGAAACCAGGGCACGTGGGGGAAAAGCTGGTCATGTCTAGGAACTGCCTGCAAGGGTAGCACTCAAAGCTGCAGCAGGAGATTGTGGAGCCAGATGGAAGAGCCTGGCCTCATGGGCAGCGGAGCCCAAGAAGCTGTGGGCAGGGCAGGAGGGCGAAAGTCAGGGCCACATTTGGGGGAGACTGTTCCAGTGGGTCAGGGAGTGGAGGGAGGGAACTTAGTTAGGGTACTCTTGAAGAGGTCCAAACAGGACCCACTGCTGAATCCCCAGGACCAGCCTGTGGAGGGGCTCAGCAAACATTCGAGAATGGATGAACAGTTAGTTAGGGTACTCTTGAAGAGGTCCAAACAGGACCCATGCTGAATCCCCAGGACCAGCCTGTGGAGGGGCTCAGCAAACATTCGAGAATGGATGAACAGGAAGTACAATGGAAAAGTCTTGGCAATAAGTGGGAGATTTGAAGTGGGGACACAGACTTAGAGAAGATGTGTGTAGAGTTTTCCTGCTCACATGACTGTGAGAATGACGACGCCCTTGGCAGATGCAGGGGACACCCCTGCCCAGGCTCTCCAGAAGCCATCCAGTTCAGTCAGTAAAGCCAAGGTCACTGCAGGTCCCACTGTGACCAGATCCTCTCTTGACTAAGTGTGCCCCCACCTTACCCCACCACCTTGCATATCTGCTCCTACTAGCTGAGCTTGGCCACTGGCTGGAATGTTCTCCCTCTAGATCCTATCTGACTGATTCTCTCTCCTCCTTAGGCCCTTGCTCACATCTTACCTACTCAAAGGCTTACCCAGCTCCCTCATTAACATGCAGCCCACCTTCACCCCTCCTTCAGCTCCTCAGCCCCCTACTCTGCTCCATTGTATCTTTTTCTACAGCACTAATCACCTTCTATCACACTATATACTTATTTTTATTTTTTCCCTCTCTTATGCTGCTGGGATGTAAACACCATGGAAGCAGGAATCTTTGTCTTTTTTCTTTTCTGATACATCCCAAACACCAAGAACACTGCCTAATCCTCAATAAAAATGTTGAATGAATTAATGAAAGAATGAATAAAAAAGAAAAATGAGTGAGCAAGAGAAAGGCATACAAGACAAGACAAACATCTTTAGACAATCATTTTCAGTGCAGATTTGTAGTCCCACTATCTGTTCCATTAGAAAATACTGACTTAAAATTTTTTTAAATATCACAGTGACCCCACTTTTATGTTTTAGTTTTACATTACTCTCAGAAGCCTTGATTTGGTTTGATTAACTTTACAATCCAGCTGGCATGGTCAGAATTTGAAATTCTTTAGCTGTTAGTCTTTAATGTTATCATCATCTCAGATTGTGAACATTTTCCCCAATTTATTTTTAGAGTCTAGATTCAGATTTATCAGATGGACCAGTCACTGTACAGGAATTTATGGAGGTCAAAAACGCTCTAGTGGCTTCTGAGGCCAAGATACAACAGCTAATGAAGGTGAATAACAACTTGAGTGACGAGCTGAGAATTATGCAGAAAAAGGTAACATGTTGATAAATGCCAGGATGGTTGACTCTTTCATCCCATAGTGTAAGGAAGAATCCCAGGCACCATGCTTGTGGCCAGAGGGAAGAAAAACAATATTGTAACAGACCTAGAAATCTTTGGGCCACAAAAAAGAAAGAAAGAAATCTTTGGGCCAGGCTATCTTTTTGGAAGCAGAATGTGTTTGGATATTTGAATTGTAATAACTTTGATTAGAAATATATCCTGGGAAGAAAAACAATATTGTAACAGACCTAGAAATCTTTGGGCCACAAAAAAGAAAGAAAGAAATCTTTGGGCCAGGCTATCCTTTTGGAAGCAGAATGTGTTTGGATATTTGAATTGTAATAACTTTGATTAGAAATATATCCTGAGTAAGGTCCCTAAGTAGGAGAAACCTAACAGACTATTAAGTATTTGTGTCAGTTATAGTAACTTTTACACTATTTTGAGCTTCCTGGGAACCTGGTTGCCACTCCGTGGATGTGATTCTTCCCTATTGCTAGTTCTAAAGAATAATCACACCATGAAAACCAAGCAGTCTAAAGCCCCGGACAGGTGTTAAGTGTTTCTCAGCATTCAAACCCCACCCCTCCCTGTGCAAAGGGGGCTTTCCTGCTCACTCGTCCTCTGAGTTGTTAACAGTCCCCACCCCACTCCCCCAGCCCTGGCAGCCCTATCCCACATCCCCGCTTTATTTTTCACCAGCACTGACCACTTATTTGTGGTGTCTCAGAGCAGGACCTGCCACAGAGTAGGTTCTCAGTAAAGAAGAGAAAACATTTCATTTGTACTAGCAAGAACTGCATGCTAGTAAGAAACAGTCCCATTTGTTCAGCACTTTCTCATTCCTTACCTTTTGAGAGAATCAGAACTGTATGAATATATTAATTCCTAAAGGAGAGTGGCTAATAGTAGCAAGGAATACACTGAAGAGGGGTATAGTGCATGTAATTCTTTATGAGAAGGCTAAGAAAAGGAAGTTGAGAAATTCCAAATTTCACCCAAGACTTTGTGGGTGTTGCTCCCATCATTCCTCTTCAAAAATGAGATTTTGTATGCCTCCCTTAAACAAAACAAAGTATATGAGAGTACTTCAAAAAGTTTGTGGAGTGCTGGCCAGTTAGCTCACTCAGTAGAGCGTGGTGCCGATAGCACCAAGGTCATGGGTTCAGATCCCCATACCAGCCAGCCACCAAAAAAAAAAAAAAAAAAAAGTTTGTGGAAAAAAGAAATTAAAAGATAATATGAATCCTTCTGTGAACTTTTGAAGACCCTGTGTATAACCTGTATCTTAATACTGTCAGTTGAGGAGTAATCTTTCAGACTGAGTTTCAAGGCCCTGAGACTTCATTTGTGGCTGGGTCCTTCTCAGTGCTGCTTCCTAAAGGAAGGCCAAAGAACTAAAAACGGGGCCCATGCTCCTCCACTTACTAGGGAAGTAAACTGCTGTGCACGTTCGCCTGGGGTTTGGTCTAGGATTCTTTTGGTGTTAAGTTCTAGATCATTTATTGAGACCTTTTGAAATAAATGGCTCCAATACCTATAATAGAAGGGGACAAAAATGCCTGATGATCAGTCAGCCTTTAATAGACACTTGTTCAGTGCCTGCTGGTCCTGTCTAGGACTGGTGTGTAGCCGTGAACAAAATGGACCATAACATATAAGACCTACACTTCCTCTGCCTTTTCTGAAATATATTTTGTTTAATGGATTATAATATGTCCCGTTGATCAGAGTAATAATTTTGTTGAGGTGACTTGTTCTGATACATGCTGACTTTCCCATTGGAAATCAATCTGCTAAGCATCACCTTTTTTATTCTATAATGCTCCTTTTAGTATTTGTAGAAATCACCAGAGATAGCCTTGTATCTCTGAAAGCAAATGTCTTGAGCTTCTTCAAGAAACGCAGAGTGAAATTATTTGTCATTGCTTGTTGATTATCTCTTTAGCTCTTAGAAATGCTTTTGATTCCTAAAACCACTGAATTATCTATAACTCTTTATTTCCTGTTACACTCCATCCAGACAAACAAGTGTAACCTGGATCTCATTAAGATAAGCATCATTAAAATTTATCAGAGGACATCTCTCTAAATACAGAGTAATAAAATTTTTTGAAATTGAAATCAGGAACTTGTGCTCATCAAAACACATTCAAACAAAATCCAGGCTGGATGTTTTAGAGGCCCAAAAAGCATTAGGATAAAGTTTCAGATTTCAAAAAAACTGTAACAGAGCGTTTTTACAAAGATAAACACGTGACTAGACAGACGGACCAGTCCTCTGTTGAAGGACATGTGTCAGTTATGCTTCTCATTTTTTGGACCTTGGTGATTTCACTTTAGGCCCTGGGTTTCATAATAAATAGTTTTGACAGGTACCTCATGCTTGTCTGTATCCTGGAATGTAGGAATTTTCAGCGGCTGCTTGTCACTTCGCAGCTGTTCTTTCTTTGGAAAGGGAGTTGCAGCTGTAGGTTATACCCTGAAAGCCTTTGTGGTGCAGAAGCAGTCTTATCATTTCTTGATGGCTCACTCTTGGAGGAGACTAAGAACAAGTGAATTTTCTGTAGAAGAGGCAGAAGTCACACTTTCACAGAGGTTTGGCACTATCAGTATAATATATGTGCATTTTGTTTACTTAGCCAAAATGTATTGGTTTTATTTCAAAGTTAGCTTAAGATTTTTTTCATATATAAAGTTGACAAAGTAGCATGATTTGTATCTGATCTTTCATATTTAACAGTTGCTTGGAAAAGATGCTAATTAATGAAGAGGAACAGCTGCTATTGGTGTATTTTTCACAGATCGGTGCTTTCTAAGTAAAATTTGAAAGTAACTCCCAACATTGAATGGGTTTGCCATTGAAAAAGTAATGATCTTCTGGTGCAATGCAAACACAGTTGCTTGTGGACTTAAACCTTGGCACTGGTGGGGAATTTGGTCAGATTTTACAGTCTGTCAAAGAGTAGACAGCTGAACTCATACCACACCCAGCTTATAAAATGTCATGGAAGCTGAAGGAGCACGAGAGGGGAAGGACACTGCAGAATGGACACAGTTCATTGTGTTTCAAATGCCAGATGCTAAAGAGTAACACGATTCCTTGCTGATTCCTTAACTAAATCATCAAACACCATGAAGCAGCCTGCATGTGAGGAATGGAAAGAGCATTCAGGGCCTCCACGTGACAGTCTCTAACTAAAATGGGGTGGTGCTAGGCAGATTAAAGTGTTTAAAGCTGACACCACCATTGTTGTGTTGTTTGGGTGACAAAGCCAAAGGAGTGAAAGGCCAATATTCCAGCCCTGGCAGAAAGACGATCGATCACCAGAGGGAAGCAAGCATGCTGCATGGAGCATTCATATGAAGATGTTCACATAGTTCAATAGGTTTCCAGTTTTCTTTGTGATACGTTAATATACCACACTTAACAGGATTCAGTTCCCTCTATTTTTTTAAAAAAGTGCTGAATTGTTTGGAATATGAAGAGTCTTATGTAATAAAAACTGTTGATTATAATTTTTCTTGTTGGCTTTTTGGAAAGGAATAGCTGATTTTTCATAAGCTGAATTTCACTGTCTTTCTTGCTTTGCAAAGCAACTCTAGTTATCTTTGTGCTGCTTCCATGGTGTCTGCTGTCATTTTTGGCATTTGCAAATTGCTCAGGGCTCATTTGAAAAGCAAGTTACCTAAGTGATGTTTTAATGATCTCAAGCTCTTGCTTGAAATAGCCTTAGAATAACCTAGAGTAGAGCTTGCCTGCAAACATTTCCCAGCCCCACCATGAAAAATTTTTAAGTGGTTAGGCATGTAGTTTTTTAAAAAATCTAAACTGCAGCTTTTCCACATTCAGAAATTAAACTATTTAATTGCTTACGTGAAATGAGTTGATTGTGTTTCACTCATTCTAGAAGAAAGAGTTCTTGTTTGTAGTTGCTTTTTACTTTTAACCCAGCTAGCTGTTATTGTTCTGATTGTTTAAAGCTGGTAGTTGTATTTGTTTACTTGGTGTTTGCTTTTTCTGCTTGCTATAGAAAAACACAGTCCCACTGCCAAACATTTCTTTCAGCTTCAAACACTCCAGAGTGAAAATTCGAACCTCAGGAAACAGGCCACAACCAATATATATCAGGTGCAAACTGGTTCTGAGTACACAGACACTTCCAACCACTCTTCCTTAAAACGACGTCCATCTGCCCGGGGCAGTAGGCCCATGTCCATGTACGAGACGGGATCAGGTCAGAAACCATATCTCCCAATGGGAGAAGCGAACCACCCCGAGGAGAGCAGGACGAGACTTCAGCCCTTCCCCGCGCACGTAAGTAACACCACTGGCACTTTCGCTGTTCACTCTCTGTGCAGCCTGACAACTCCGTTCCGCGTTCTGAACCTGCAGATCCCCGTGCTTCTGCTTTGCCAAATTGGACTCTGAGAGTTGCCATTGTGTTTGCTGTATTAACATGTCCACAGATGCTTTTGATGTTCCTGCAGGCACACAGGGCCATCGACGAAAGTTTTACAACCAGTTTGGGGATTCTGGCTCTTGCTCGACTCCCACTCCCCTTTTTCTCCCCAATATCTATGATCTATTTCCCAGCCAGCCAGAATTGGAACTTTTTTGTAAAGCTTCCTTCCTTTCCCATTTCCAAAAACAAAAACAAATTGTAAAGGTCACTAGCAGAAATAAGTGTCACCTTCTTCAAGGTAGATGGCGACTGCCCATTTACAAACTGGAGCCCTTAGTGTCCAAGATGCCTTTTCGGCTCTTCCCATATGAGCAGGTGGCATCTGCGGCCCTGTATGCAAGCAAGGCAAGTCTGGAGGCTCCAGGTCTCTGCAGCCTCCCTGTGGCTCAGTGTGACTGCTGGGTTACCTTCTGCATCCTCTACCTCCTCCACTTCACAGAGGAAGTGTGGCTTTGTCATCTCATAAAAATGTAATGTCAAAACTCTATATCAGTCTTACAAGCGTTGAATTCCAAAGAGCGTATTTTGTAGCAGGGTTCTAACAAGCTTATTTTACAATGGGATAAGTATTGTGTTGTGAGGTTTTCAAATGTTATATTTCTTTTGGATTAATATATTTTAAAAATCTATGTTTTAAGAATGTTACAGACATTTTAAGCTTTTTCATGTGATATTTTTTCTTTATTAGAGAGTAACACTTATCTTTTTGAATGTCAAAAGTTATTCTTCAGTCAAATGTTATAGGAGTTTGGAAACAATTCTCAGGGTAAATGCAAAGTAAAGGATATGGTGTAGTAAATTAAACCCTAGTTTAATTTTGTCAAATTTACAGTGTTGTTATATTGTAATTAGGAATCCATTATTGTGACTTCTTTTTATGTTTTTTGGGTTTAACATTCTAAGGCAATTGATTTAATACATTTGGTGTAATGTGAATGCCATTGAATTAAGAATCTTATTTTTGTATGACTGAAAACAAAATTTAGGAAAAGTAACCTTTGTTAGTTTTCACAGTGTACTTTTTTATTTAAAAAAAATTTAAGATGTAAGGATGTCATATTGCAAAAATTCTATAATCATTTGTATAGTTTCTCATTTTATATTATCAGTCCTGATTGAAAAACAAATATTCATTTTAGGCTATCCATTTTAAAAACTATTGGCAAATTTGACAGATTATGCTAGGTATTATCTCTGGGAGGTGTTTCACCAAGGAATTAGACATCTCTGGGGACCTGTCACTGGCTGTCATTGAGATTTCAGACTCATCTCACATAGTAAGTTGTTTCTAGGATTATTTTACTGAAGCCAGTTTAGGCGGTAGGGTTTTTTTTGTTTTGTTTTGTATTTTCCCGAGTGTGTTTCTCTCTCCCCTTCCAGATCGGGAGGAGTGCGCTTGTGACCTCCTCTTCATCTCTGCCTTCCTTCCCCTCCACACTTTCCTGGTCAAGGGATGAAAGCACCCGAAGGGTTAAGTACACTCTGAATGGTCTGCTCTCTGGAGGAGGGGCAGTGCTCCTGGGCGCTTCCTGCTTGGGCCTCCTGTCCCTCGTTAACTGCCCTTCTGTCCTGCATGAGGCAGCACTTCCCTCCTGGTTTCTCACAGCACAGTGGGCACGCACACGTGCACGTGCACGCATACCTGTAGCGAGGCAGCCTCCGTTGTGTCTAACTCCACCTTGCCATTTTCTCATATTTAACAAAGTTCACAAATCACCCTGTAGCGTTTATTCTGAACATACTGTCCTTTTAAACAATCAGAAAATTAGCTGGCTGCTGGTTAAATATTGTAATAAGGCAAATGTGTCAGATTTGTTCAGAGCTCCAGTCATCAGATTAAAACTGCTGTTTGGACTAGCTGAAGGAATAAAACATCATGCCTTTTTTTTTAAACCTCTGACATATTTTATGTCAGCACCATGCTTGACAAACCAAGACTTTTGCAGTCCCTGCATCCTGAATCGGAATTGTAACACCTAGTAGCATGGAAGTTGTGTGCAGGTGGCTGTTAGCGTAGATCCGTTCACTTGTATTGGTCAGTCAAACCCAGACTGCTGGTGTGTAATTTACACTCAGTAGCAGTACGTGATTCAGGTAAGGTCCTTCTAGAGTAGCCAGGCAATAAGTATTTATTAAGCAACTCCTCTATACCTAGCCATTTGGTAAGTCAATTAAAGAGTCCTAAGGGCTTCAGTGGCAAAGTCCCTGCTCCCAAAAGCACCATCAATAAAAAAGTACTTTCATGCATGGAGAGTACGTGATTGTGACTTGGGGAAGCCTTGGGAAGAGCACAGGCTTTCAAGATGTGCATTCAGTTTCTGGTCTAATCTTTTTTTTTAACGAATGGGTAGTGCAACTAAGGTGAGAGGAGAGAGGTGGCTGTGAGTGAAGGACCACCTTTACAGACAGGGCGCATTTGCCTTCTCTCGCATCTGGGAAAGATGGAGAGTCTTCCTTTCCCACTGCCAGTGGCATATGGCTCACCAAAGCCCTTTTGAGATTCTTTATTGCACTTTGGAAGTATTCTATTAAAAAGAATTATTGATATATGGTACTCAAGTCTTCTGAGCAGTTCTGGAATTGAACTGTAATGTTTTCATTATAGTATTCCAGTTAAAGGAAAAGGAACAGTTAAAAAGTAATGAAATATCTCATTTGGAATTTTATTAATAAGAGTCAAGTAAACCTCTTTTGTCCACATGAAATTTGTGTGGTTTTTTTTTGTTTGTTTGTTTTTTAAAGATGACCGGTAAGGGGATCTTAATCCTTGACTTGGTGTTGTCAGCACCACGCTCTCCCAAGTGAGCTAACCGGCCATCCCTATATAGGGATCCAAACCCGTGGCCTTGGTGTTATCAGCACCACACTCTCCTAAGTGAGCCACGGGCCGGCCCTGGTTTTTTGTTTTTTGTGGTTTTTTAAAAATATTTTAGTAGCTTTGAAAATCATTGCAAGGACTGCTGAGAAAAAGTTTTGTACAAAATTAACAATTAAGTTATTTAAACTGATAATCCTGATTGTTCCTGACAGCTTCATTATGGGTTTAGATTTTTTATGGTATGTCTATATTCAGAGAAAACTGTAAATCTATTAAATAAACAACCAGCACCAGCTATAAGGTAACTTTTCTATTAACAGCTTTGAGAGAGCAGCACTTTTAACCAATAGCTCTTGGCTCTGCATGTTGACAATAATTTTCATAAAATTAAATGCTGGCTACATTGAAATCCTTATACGCATTTGTTGACACCGATGAAGGACTTAATGCGTAAGTAACTGGTTTCCTGGGTGGTTGCTGCTGTATGTTGTCTTCTAATACTTGCAAAACATTTTTGGAGCACTTTTATTAGGTATGTGAGTTGTTACTCTTCTGAAATGTTTAAATGAAACTTAGTACTTTTGGTCATTACAGGTAATGCATTTAATTTGTAATTATTAAATTTACATCAAGGAAGACAAAAAGATCAGAATTTTCTGGGTTTAATTCTGTTTTCTAGGTTTTTTCCACTGGTGCAGCCCTGGATGAATTTTCCAGTGTTATTATTTAAATGCAAGTTTTTATCCATTGATATATGTGTGTCTGTATGCACATGCACACACATTCATGTGTGTGTTTACATAAAAGCTAAAGGAAAATAAATTTAAAGATTAGTCAGACATTTCCTGCGAAAGGTAAGGTTTTGGGTGAGTTTATAGGTTTTCTGAGGTCGTCTCTGGAAGACTCTGGTTTCACTGTTCCCTACACCGGATACAGTGCCTGCCTTTGGTCTTTCATCTAGACTTCTAATAGCTGATAACTCGCTGATTCATTCATAAAGCCAGATCAAATCAACATGGTGAGTGAAGCCGAACTACTTACTGGTAGGAGATAGAAACAAAAGGATCTTAAAAGTTATAGTGGGTTTTACAGAACTTGGCTTTACAAACTCCCTATACGGCTCCAAGCCAACACTTTTAATCATTTGCCAGATGAATTTCCATGGGGAAAATATGAGTTCATACTGAATTTAGGAGCCCAAAGCAAGTGTTTCATATTAGAATGGCTAGGGACTAAATAAAGCATTTGAGGGAAATGCAAAATTCTTAGCAGACAGAGAAAGAGTATTTGCCCTGGGAGAGGAAAAGAAAGAGGCAGTGGGGATAGAGAACAAAATGTGGTGTGAATAAGGCTCCCCACCGTGGGCTGTCTGCCTTGCCTATACCCATAAGACCTTCAGAGAACCAAGCAGTATTATCAGTAATGAGCAAATAAGTAGACTTCATGTAGACTTTCTTGAACTGACTTACTCTAAAGTAGACGTTCTTTTGGATGAAGCTACAGGGTCTCCATATGTTTAAACAAGGCTGTTTACAGCTATATCCTTAGCTACATTTTATTGCAGCATCAATAAAAGTCCTTAGTCATATGTTTTGATTAACTTGGATTAAATTTGAGGTATGGTTCTGGAAATAGCTCAAACTTGTATTTTACAAGGTAATCAGTTTAGGTTTTGAATCAACTTCCACCAGTTCTAGGTGAAGAAATTCTCAAATATTATGAATAAAACAAATACTGGGGGAAAATAATTTTTACTAAACACTCCAGAACAAACATAATCCCCTTCAATGGAATATGATCCCCTTCAAATTTTGTCACCCTGGAAGGCCCTGTATTTAGCAGTGCTGCCATTTGTTCACAACATTTTTAGGATTCCTCTTTTGAACCTACATCCCATTTTTGGATCTCCACAGTTGCACCAAATCTTTATATTTTAAGGGGTAGATATTTTTAGAAACAGATAAAAGTGGTTTGAAACCAAGTGTCGTACTGAGTTAATCCATTTTGGTTCACAAACAACATGTGGCTATAAATTAATAATACTCATTTTTGGGCCGGCCCGGATTAATAATACTCATTTTCGGGCCGGCCCGTGGCTCACTCGGGAGAGTGCGGTGCTGATAACACCAAGGCCACAATTAATAATACTCATTTTTGGGCCGGCCCGTGGCTCACTCGGGAGAGTGCGGTGCTGATAACACCAAGGCCACGGGTTCGGATCCCACATAGGGATGGCCGGTTCGCTCACTGGGTGAGCGTGGTGCTGACAACACCAAGCCAAGGGTTAAGATCCCATTACCGGTCATCTTTTAAAAAAAAAAAATAATAATAATAATACTCATTTTCTCATGGGGCTCATAAAAACTGTCTCTGAGGTAGTTCTTGGAGAGCCATGAGAGCTTTGAGCAGTGTCAATCACCAGGACCCCGAGCATGGAATATTGGAGATAGCAGGAGATGGGACATCTGGGTTCTTGGTCCTATTTTTGTATGGACTCTGGCCTTTAGTGGGTCACCCAGTTATTTTGGCCCTTCATATTCCCATCTGGTGTTAAACCAGACAGTCTGCAAGCGGCTTCCAGCACTGTAGGTCTGTGGTCATGTAAGTGCTGGCATGTTTGCTTTTTACCTGGGTCTCATTATATTACAAACTCCATATTCCTTTGAGAACTAAAAGAGGGCATGTTGCCTTGTGTCTGTGTTAGTTTGTACCATGGATCTGTTTATGGAATAGCCACTGAGCTGAGAAGAAAATGATGCAAGGAAGGAAAGAAACCATTTCTGGGTTAACTGTTCATCTTTTACTAAATTTTCACTTAAGGGTTGGATCCTGTCCCAAATGAGATCTGAAGCATGAGGGCCATGTAGCCTAACAGGTAGTGATTACTGGGGAAGTTTCCTGAGAAGTGTCTCATGTCCCCTCTTCTTTCTTGTAGGCATCCAGGCTGGAGAAGCAGAACAGCACACCTGAGAGTGACTATGACAACACTGCCAATGACACGGAGCCAGATGACACGGGGTACATCTGCAAGAAGAGCGTGCCTGTGGGTGGGCTCTCAAATACCAGAGAGCTGGCAGGCTTTGGCCAGCAGAGGCAGTTCATCACCTACACCCCTTTTCTCTACTGTCAGACCCATAAGTTCTTGAAATATCATAGTTTACATCTCACATTATTGCCACAGGGGCCTTTTTTTCTTTTACCAGCATGTTGTATGTCTCTAGGTATTTGCAGTGTGGTTAAAATCAGTGTTTCACTTCATTGTTAAATCTACATTAGGTTACTTTCTGCATTCGTAGCCAAGGAATTGGCTTGGCTGGAGATGGCTGCAGAACTACACACACCCCCCACTCCAGTTATTTCTGTCCCTTTTCCCCTCCTTCGCCCTTTTTACCATGGTCAAACTTCTAGCCCTATGGTAAGAATGAAACAGCTTCCACATGAGCTGTAGCTGCCAGCTGATAAAACAGAGCCTTGTGAGTTTCCTTCCAGACAGGATAAAGGAAACCACAAAAATAATCTTGTGCATTCAGCCAGTGCATGCAAAGTGGCTCCTAGAAACAGAAGTGGCTAACAAGGGCCCATCGTGTTTAACCATTTCTTTAACCTTCACAGGTCAAGCCGAAAGGGAAGGCAAAGGAGTATGGTGTGGCCAGGCGATAGCCTAGTGCCAGACATGGGAGAACCCCACGTGGCCCCTAGCCCTGCCCTGCCCAGCACTGAAGACGTCATCCGGAAGACAGAACAGATCACCAAAAATATACAGGAGCTCTTGAGAGCAGCCCAAGAAAATAAACATGACAGGTAAGGGGCTGGAACCCCTGCTCGTAGAGAATGTGGGAACACGCTCTGATGGGGACACTGCTCCAGTTCCCAACAGAGGTGGTTTCCCGTGTGCCTGCTTGCAGATTTTCAGGAGAGGCTTAAGAACACTGTGTTAGGGCCAGCCCATGGCTCACTTGGGAAAGCATGATGCTGATAACACCAAGGCCACGGGTCCGGATCCCTATATAGGGATGGCTGGTTAGCTCACTTGGGAGAGTGTGGTGCTGACAACACCAAGTCAAGGGTTAAGATCCCCTTACCATCATCTTTAAAAAAAAAAAAAAACAACTGTGTTGATTTGGGTTTTGATTGTTTGGGTTTTTGCACGTGGTGTGTTCATGTCTTTCATCTTGTTACAAAGCTCTCTGAAAATAAATGCCTCTAGAAATAGAACGGCAGCATCTTTGGGGTGGTGGTAGTCTAAGTCTTAGTTGGAGACTGGGGAGAGGTTCCCTCACAACCGGCTGTTGATCTTTCTGGCCATGCTGCCTCCTGGGATCCCCTCAGCTAGGGACAAGGTTGCTGGCACAAAATGTAGCCTGAAAAGAACCTGATTTCTTGTCTGTCCCCAACCGTGTGTGTGTGAGAGCTTCTAACAAACAAGTGGTTTAGAAATAAAAGTTAATCTAATGGCCCAACTGATTGTCTACTCATGAAAGAAGAGGCTACTTCCTCTGAACAGAAGCATCTGCAATTATTTCTCACTGTAAGGAGGAGGCTGGCTCTTGCTTTAACTTACCCCTTTGATCTCCGAGAGTGAATTCTCTGAGAACTTCTGGTAAGTTGTGAGCTGTTCTGGGTGACATTCTAGTTTCCTGCGGCTGGCTGGATCCAAACACACTCATAAACATTATTTGACATTATCCCATTGAGTTTGAGAACGCAGCAGGGTCAAACCCAAGAACAGTCTCATTCTTTTCATTAGGTTGGCCAAGTTAAGGACTTCAGCCTAGAACTTGTCTTTTGTGCCTCGCACGAACAAAAGGCGTTCAAAGAATGCAGTAGAGTTCATTCTTTCCTCTCTCTCTTTTCTTCCTCCCCATGAAGATGCATCCCTGCCCTTGTGTTCTCTCCTGTGCTCCTGGAACTGCCATGCCAACCTCCCCTTTTCCCTCTTTTTCTTATACAGCTCACACTTCTCCCAGTGTCATTATTTCCCAGTAGGGAAGATAGGAATAGGCCATGTTTATTGAAGGGTAAGAGTTGGTCCTCATGGGTGGGCTGCTGGAGGGTCCTCGGAGAAAAAGAGGAACCTGTATCATTTCTCAGCCTGCTTTCACGAAACCATATAGGTGCCTGTCTTCCTCCTTCCCCTGGCCCCAGGCCTCCATGCTGTACCCAGCCTTCCCAGCCTCACGTGTTGTAAGCCACAGCCACTTTGCTCAGGGCGCAGCCTTGGCAGTGAGTGATTTCGCATCTCATTACATGAAGCAGAGTGTTCCACAGCTTTCCAAAGTAGTTTCTGACAGTGTTGAAGGTAATCTTGATGTAAGAGTAACACCTTCCCAGGTGCTCTCCCACCACTTTCAGTGTGCTTCGCTTTCTGCCTCCTGCAGTTCCGAAGTGCTGTGCTTGTAGTTCAGACTGAAAAATGTGCTAACACTGTGTTGCTGTCTTTGGTGGTTGTCAAAAATATAAATACCTGCTCTGAGGCCATTTATGGCTTCGAAGATTGCAGTATGGTACTTGGTATAATTTGAGAATTTCTTTTTTTGTTCTTTTTTCTTTTTTAAGGTGTATAAATCAGGACTGGCCAGTTAGCTCAGTTGGTTAGAGTGCAGCCTTATAACCCCAAGGTCATGGGTTCGGATCCCCATCCCAGCCAGCCACACAAACACACACAAAAGTATAAATCCTTTCGGGCCGGCCCGGTGGCGAACTCGGTAGAGTACGGTGCTTGGGAGCGCAGCGGTGCTCCCGCCGAGGGTTCGGATCCCATATAGAGACCCGTCCGCTCACTGTGCAGGCATGACACCGAGGATTGCGATCCCGTTGCCAGTCACAGTACGGGCGCGACACTGAGGGTTCGTCCGCTCACTGTGTGGGCATGACACCGAGGATTGCGATCCCGTTGCCAGTCACAGTACGGGCGCGACACTGAGGGTTGCGATCCCGTTACCGGTCGCGAAAAAAGACAAAAAGGAAAAAAAAAAAGTATAAATCCTTTCAACATATTTTATGATGTGATTTTTTTTTAAGACTATGAGAGAATGATGTAGAGATTTTAATCATTAGCTCATTCTTTTGGCTTAAAACCAGAATTGGTTTAGAGAATTTATATTTTATAAATTGTTCAGTGTCCTGTTAAAATCTCTATGGTCCCATCTCCTGGTCCTCCAACCTCACTCCCACCTGCTCACACACACACATTTCAGGGATTACAACATAATATGCACGAAAGTCTTTTTGAGGAAAGATACCAGTTTGAAATTGTGAACGTGAACTCCCTCTAATAAAGGAGAAGGATTTCCTCTATAATCTGCATGTGCTTTGTGTTGTAGCTTGTCAAGGACTTCCCAAAGTAGTTCAGAATTGAGAGATGGGCTTAGGAAAAATTCCTTCTTTATGTAGTAGGGGGAAAGGGTGACTTGTATTTCTCAAAATGAAACCATAACCAGCAAAACATAAACCTCTTGTGGGGTTCTCAGTTACTGTGCTATTAATGGACACACGGGTTCAAGAAACATTTATGCGTGATGCAAGTGATTCCTGTGGACATGCTCTTATCTCTTTCTGTATGTCTGTGTGACCAGGTGTGTTGTTGCCCCTTCATATTTGCAACTTAAATAACTCCTTATGCATTGGCATTTGTGTTACTACATGGTATATGGTTCTAATTGCTCACAAAGGTGAAAGTCAAGATTTGCCATTTGAAGGCATTTTTGGACACTATAAACCATTTTTCTGAAACATAATGGTTTAATTAAAGTGAAGGCAGTCTTTCAAATGGTTTTGATACTAGATTTCTTACTAAGATGCAGCACAGAGGTCGCTTATGTCAGTCTATTCAGAAGCCAACTTCATGGTTTAAAAGAGGAGGAAAGAATGTTACTTGAGGGCTTTAAGTCTATGATGGATGCTGAATGGCATTTGTTTTAGTATCTTAGAAGGAAAATTTTTAAAACACACAGCCACATGGGTTCTTATGTCAGGCCCAAACTATGGTATTCACGGTGGTAATTCCTAACATGCTAAAAATGGGCTCTTAAAGTACTTTTCCCATAGCCCAGTTCCCTTCTGGGTCATGGTTCAGTCCTCCTAGAAACAAAGCCCAGGCTTGGTGGCCATGTGGTATCTAAGAACTGTCACTTAATACTGTCACCAATTTGTGTTTCTCTGCATCTTGAAGCACATACTACTCCAGGCACAAACCTAACATTTTTAAGGTACAAGAAACTAGCCCATCCGTTATATGTCATGGTACTAAGAAATAGAATCCTAGATGAAATCAAAGTCTTAATTCTTCCAGTTCTCACCACAAGAAGTCAAGTCACCACTCATCAGTGGAAAGTGGGTTACTACAAAGAGAGATGTGAATCTGTCACCTCTTTGATATTAGGAGCCAGGCTCGGTCTCTGGACAGCGGGTTTGAGCTCAGCCCTCCTTTTACCATCTGTGGGACCTGGACATGTTCTCCTCTCCAAGTTTCAGTTTCCTAATTTGAAAAATGGTTGTGAGGGCTGGCCCGGTGGTGCACTCGGTAGTGCGGCGCTTGGGAGTGCGGCGGCGCGCTCGCCGAGGGTTCGGATCCCATATAGAGACCGGTCCGCTCGCTGGTTGAGCGCGGTGCAGACACGACACCGAGGGTTGCGATCCCGTTGCCGGTCACGGAAAAAAAAGGACAAAAAGGAAGAAAAATGGTTGTGATAATAGTTCCAACCTCACAGGGCTGTTGGCAAGATTACATGAGTCTGCAGAGTCAGTGCTCCATAAGCCGTGACTTTCATAGTGTCATCTACAGGGCCACTAGAAAGCCAGGCAGCCTGGAAGAAAGGATGAGAACAGGCAGATTTAATGCACTATGTTTTGTTAGGGCCTGTCAACAGGCAGAGAAAGCACTGACTACACTGATAGCATTTTATTACAAATAAGCACAGACGGCAACTTATGAGAAAGGAGATAAGTGTCTGAACAAGTATGGGAAGCAGACCTCAGTATTTTCTTATACGAAGTAAAGATTTTGACAGACCTCAGTATTTTCTGTTATACAAAGTAAATATTTTGACTCCCTGACAACTCAGATGCATTTGAATGGAAGAAATTTAGAAGTGTTCCTTGGTTAAATGACACATGGATATTGAGGTGTAGGCTCCAATTGTAATTTTAAGGACTTTTTTTTAGTCCCTTTTGTTTCACTTCTGTGGCCTTTGGCATGGAAATCCTTGTTTCTTGTTCTAGAAATTAGGATGATGAAACACGTGAGAAGTAAATGATCAGCTTGAGGAGGTGTGAATATCTTCATGTACTGTTTTGTGGCTTCACCTGGCCAGTAGTGTATATTGCCACATTTCACACCTGGAGACTGTTTTTATCAGATTGAATGAATTTTCCAGAAAGGATGGGGGACGCTTCTTTATTATAACCACATGACTTCTGTTGATGTGGGGTTCACTGCGTGCTGGAGGCTACTGCAGCCCCTGCCCCTTCATTAAGGGAATGTAAATGGAACCTGTTCTAGCCCTTAGTATTCACCTCTGAATCACTTTTTCTGTCTGTGAATAACCTCTTCCGTATTCTTGCAGTTATATTCCCTGCTCAGAGCGGATACACATAGCTGTTACAGAAATGGCAGCATTATTCCCCAAAGTAAGTCACTTCTACTCACTTGGTTTAGATCCTTTTAAATGAACTACAAGAAATTTCTTTATGACCTTTATTTTATATTAGCCTTTTTGTAGCACTTAGAGTTTTAAATATGTAAATATGTAAGCAGTCATATAGAGCTTTGAAATATTTTCTTCTATATGAATATTGATTTTAATAAGAATGTACAGGTCAAGTGCTAAAAGGCAAAGCATTAACAGAATAAAATTTTATCTGAAGTATTTCACCCACACGGATTATTATTTTTCAAAAACTACAAAATAGCACATACTATTAAAGGATGCACTTTGAGCCTAGTATTTCGGCATCTCTTACACTGTGGGCTGCAAAGCTTGCAGGGTTTAGAGCACCCTTGTTGAAAAAGTGCATGGCACACTGCCCTGCATTCTGTGGAACAACTTGAGTTGTTTTCAGAAGAATGCTGGTCACTTGTTCTTGGACGTCCACCCTGCAGCTCATGGCAAACGCTGTTTTTTTTTTCTGTCTAGAAACCCAAGTCTGACACGGTGAGGACTTCCCTTCGTTTACTGACATCCAGTGCCTACCGACTCCAGTCTGAGTGCAAGAAGACCCTCCCAGGGGACTCTGGCTCGCCCACTGACGTCCGGCTGGCCACACAGCAGGTCATTCAGTGTGCCTACGACATCGCCAAGGCTGCCAAACAGCTGGTCACCATCACCACCAAGGAGAACAGCAACTGAACAGCAGAGCGCTGTCCCTCCTGTTCTCTAGGCTTTTTAAAGTCCAATCTCCAATTTAGACATGGAACTCTTCAGATTTTTACAAAAACAAACATTTAATGATGGTTTAAAACTTTTTAAAAGAAAACTCAGTATTATTTTTGCATGTTTTCTAACAAATTTTCAACTATTAATTTAACCCACTTGCCTTATTTTGTGCCTGTTTGCCAGTTTAGTTTCTGATGTTCTGTTGTATTGTCAACGACTATTGAGTTAATGATCGTATACATCCCAAAGTGTGGTTGCATTGTTTAAAGTTTGTTAAAACTTTTCTGTCCCTTAAAACTCCCTGCCTATGGCTAAAACTATAAATGAAATTTTTTAGTAAAACATTTTCTTGAGAGAGTTGGGTAAAAAAATCAGAATTATCTGTTCTCTACCAAGCATTGTGCAATAAGTGAATTTTCCAACCTACCACAAAAATCTCTGAGTTTGGGGTATCTCCAAGTACGTGTGTAGAAAAAGGACTTGGCCACTTTCTAAAAACAGTGTAACAGTCTCTTTCAGAAGGAAACAATGAATTGATCTGTTTCTTCTAACGCTTCTATCATGTTAAATGTTCTGTTATTTAATTTTTTTTATCTTGATCTTCTGTCTCTATATTTTACTGTCATCCTGAAGTCTCCGTGGAGTCAGATAAAGCATTCACCCTCCACGGCATGTCTCATTTGGCTGTTTTCAGGATAGGAGCAACACTCCCGCTATCACCCACAGTCAAGTGCTCTGCCTTACCCCTGTACACCAGATTATTCGGAACGTGCGGCAAAGGGAAGCATCAGTCTAACAAGCCATGACGAATTTTGTACCACCCATTCAGATATCACTGCCACAAACTGTGGGGAAAAGAAATCATCGACTCCCTGGCACTGTGTTGTACCTTTCACCCACAGTCAGTCACTTACAGCCTTCTCACATGAGCTGCTAAGGACTTTATCAGGTAAGGTGTATACAGTCATCTGATTTAGTTTCTCCTCCATCACCTTGCTGGGACTTAAAATTAGACTTCAGCTTTCAAGATTCCTTAGAGAGTGCTCTGGCTAACCACTGGCTCTTCCAAACTACGAGAGGGTACAGGTTTCAGTCCTGGAACATGCTGGGATTGTATTCTAAATTACTAAAAAGCCCTTGTTCTGAATGTTAAAGCATCTTTCCGTCCCTGTGTATTGCAGCTGTTTTATGTGGGTTTGGTTCAGACCCTGACCTGACAGAGCAGGTGATATGGACAAATGAAGTGAGCCAGGTGTGCGGCAGGTGGGGGCAGGAAGGGGGGGTGGCTGAGGAGTCCATGGACCACCCTGTAGCAACATCATCTCCCCAGCTCCACTCATGTTGTCATGTGGAAAAATGGGCCTGGGGTTGCCAGAGCTTTGATATTTCAAGAGACACCAGAAATGAATTATTTTTTTGTGCCATCTCTCCATTTATAAATGTGGGCAACCAGTCTGAACATTTTCTCAGAACACATGCAGGTGAGCTGTGGCCTCCAGGCTGGCAGCTCACTGTGATGCGGCCCCCCCACCCTGTGTTAGGTTGCTCTCTTTACCTGTATGTCCTGTCCTGTAGTAGTCATTCACACGTGAAGAAGTCAGAATAGTCACAGTACAAGTTGCCTCAGTATGGGCTCACTAAGCCTCTGCCTTCACAGAACTGATCCATAAACACCGTTATAGCCTGACCGTATGCTGTCATGAGAGGAGCACCACGATGATGTCTGGTTTACTAAGTCACAGTGTGTGGATGCTTTTGTTGGGTTTTGCTACATTATGAGTAGCATGGGAAAAAATCCACATCTCCAGAAGACTAGCCCACCTGTTTGTCCTCACAGCCCTAAGTGCCGAGTTACTGTTGGATGCTCCAGGGATGCCTTCTAGAAGGGGGCCTCCCAAGCACCGTCCGGTAACCTTTTCTTCATATTTTGTGTGCTTTTATTTTGTGTGTATCCCTCTTTCTTGCACGCACCTGCCCGTCCTGTCGGGCTCCCCAAGGTCTTCAGAAAAGGGCCAGCTGCCATCCTGAACTGGCGTCCTTGGCCTCCCAGGGAGGACGGGCTTCTGTAGAGGCCTCTGGCAAGTGAGTTGTCTGCAGTAGGAAAAGCCATATTTTCAGTTGAGCTAGAGGACCTGCATTAGAGGATGTGGTTTTTATGCCCCTAGAGAAAGTCAAGGAATGTGGGGACCAACAAAGCATTTCCAGTTATAAGAATCCCACAGAAGAGCTTGCTTGATTAACCCACAGTGCCAGAACTCCGAACAGAAGTTTCCAGACAGAGCAACAGGCAGTAATTGGACAACAAAGCATTTCCAGTTATAAGAATCCCACAGAAGAGCTTGCTTGGTTAACCCACAGTGCCAGAACTCCGAACAGAAGTTTCCAGACAGAGCAACAGGCAGTAATTGGAGGCCTGCAAGTTGACCTTCTTGTGTGCCCTGCGCATTTCCTTAGCCTCCTCTGAGATCCGGTGTCAGAGTTCTCTGCTCCTGTTAGCAAATCACACCTGGTCCGAGCTCTTGCTCTGGCCACTTTGTGCACATGGATTCCATAGCCTTGCACTAGCAATGTCTGCATTCTGCAATGTTGTTTCTTTGCCTTTTATTCTCAATCACCCCTCCCTCCCCACACACCCCTCTCTTTCCCCAAAGCTGATAGGACAGAGGTGCACTTTATGAAACTGGCACTTGGCTGAACAGAAGGAAACAGCTCTACCCCTAAGCTCCTTTCACTGAAATCATCTTCTGCCTCGGAATGCAAATAGTTCTTATTTGCCAAAGAATATTGAATTGGGCCCAAAGATCAAACACAGCATTTTCATAAAATTGGAACTATAAATGCACAACTCAGGAGCTGTTAGTTCCTCAAGTGATTTAAGTTGCAGAACCAAGAGTGAAACTAGCAGGTTTTTGTCCTCAACAACATCCATGAGCTTTCCAATAGCACAGTTTTATTTCTTTCCTTGTCCTGGTTGAAGGTGTCACTTGTTCTTACAAAAGAAAATGCTGCATAGGAAAAATGAAATGCCTTTTATCCAACTATGTTTTATCCATGTCACTCATAATTCTGTACCTATTTTTCATTTTTATTGTACATTCTATTCCTGTAATTATTGTACCCTGTAAGTGTTGTAAAATCATTTTGGAATTTGTGCCTGCTAGTTATGCAATAAACAGGCTTTATAAATGTCTTTGTGGTAATGCTGTGCCTCCCATCAATTAGTTAATGTTTCCAGATGCTTGGTACAAGTTTGGAGAAAGTTCTTCTCACATAAGGCCATTTTAAATGAGAAGGGGTTGAACGTGTTCCCTTCCTTGGGGCTCTGTCAGTTTTACAGTGGTGACGACCTTTTTCTTCCTCTGTGCTTATTAGCAAATAGCTTTCTTAAAAGAAATCCCGCTTTAAGATATTAGTTCCAAGTAACTTATCATGATGTATTTACTCCCTAACTTTAATTTTTTTAATTCAGCTAAAGCCAGCCGAGCACAGGTGCCCTCCCACTTCCTAATGGGTGACCTGGTCATGGAATTAGTTCGGTCTCTTAAGGCCACCACTTTTTTTATTGTCAGGGTAAGGCCCACTATGCAGGTTCATAGTGGGACTGGTATAGTTTTATATCTGGGTTCATCCAGGCTGCTCACGGTCACCAGCAGTTGTCCTCTGGTGAGGACACTCGGAGAGGTGGCTTCCAAATGGAAGAAGGGGTGGGGTAAGACCCACCCATCATGGTGCCTTTCCGAGAAGTCGGAAAGACGCAGCATTTCCAGTTTGTGATCCAGCTTGTCTGGGAGAAGGGCTGTGAGTGATGGAACCAGCAGGAGGGACAGCCGCTCACACCCAGAATGGCCCCCTGGGGCAGAGGTTCTCAAAGGAGCCAGCCTCAGACCCTGGGGACCCTGGAGGGCCCCGCCGCCTCAGTCTCTGGTTCAGCAGCTCGGGGTTGGGGACTGGGGGTTTTCTAACTGACATTTCTAACAAGTCCCCGAGTGCTGTTGGCATTGGGGGTCCAGGGACCACACTGAGAAGCACTGCTGTATTTTCAGGCCCCTCCCACCACACAGCTCCTTGCCTTCTACTTCTAAACATGTTTTCATAATATGTATATAATAACAATTATAATTTTAGCTGGCATATATTCTGTGTCAGGCACTCCACTAAGTTCTCTACATGTATTAACTCACTTAATCCTCACTACAACCTTGTGAAGTAGGAATGTTTATTTCCATTTTACAGATGAGAAGTCCCACATCTGAAGGAAGCAGGGGGAGTATGTTAGTTATTGTTCAGTTCGGTGTAGCCACGTCCTGTTTTCCATGACGCTAGCGGAGTCTGTTAACTGAGGAGCCGGAGAACGAGCCCCGGGCCGGAGGTGGAGCTGTCAGCCTAGCTGCTCTGAGGCCGCCTGGAAGGCCCATTCCTCTTGGGTCTAGATAAGGGGTCAGGTGGGTGACTGAGACTGTGGAAATAACTGTCTTTTACAACCTGTCAGCTTGTGCCCCCAAAGCCCAGGTCCCTCGAGCAGGGGGCTGTGACTCACTCCCCGAGTCCCTGGCACCTGGGCTTCTCCAGTGTTCCTTGAGTGGCTGAACGGAAGGACTGCCCAAGCTCCTCTGTCCACTGGCTCAAGACACTGTGAGAGCAGCTCATCTGTCCGTGGGGCTGCACACAGGCTGCCTCACCATGGGGACAGCTTGGTGGCCATCTGAGGAGGTACCTGCTGCTCAACAGGCTGGGTGTACGAGGTTGTCCGAGAGCTGGTCCGTGTAGGACACAGACTCCAGGTGTCCCTTCCTCTGCCAGCCGGCCATTGAGCAGAAGCCAGAGCCACCCTTGGGCCTAGCCAAGGTCACTCCAACTGCTTTACAGGTTCATGTGTCAACTGCCACAGAACAGGTCCCTGGGGGAAGGGTCTGCTGGAGATAGCGGTGCACAAACCCTTTGCCTCGTCTCCCAACCCCCGCACCCAGGCTCTTGCCTCGGCGCACAGCTCCCCAACTGTTCTGTCTCTTCCCAGGTCCCCAGACTGTGTAAACCTGTTCCAAACTTCTCAGCCTGATTGTTTTCCCAAAGGCGGCTTCTCTCCAAGGACCCCAATGTCTCCTCTTCTGTCTCTTCCCAGGTCCCCAGACTGTGTAAACCTGTTCCGAACTTCTCAGCCTGATTGTTTTCCCAAAGGCGGCTTCTCTCCAAGGACCCCAATGTCTCCTCCGAAATCCCTCTTCTCACCCCTTCCCAACACCTTCCCTTCACAGGGCTCACTGTCCCCTTTCCCTCTCATCCTCCCCCTGGGCCCAGCTCTCCACCTCCCTTCCCTTTCAGAACCCCAAGTCATTACCACTCACCTGGCCTTGACCTCTTCCCTTGGCCTAGTCCTATAAGTCACGTGTCTTGCCCACATCTTACAGACAGGGAAGTTCTGAAATCTAACTTGGTCTTGCAGCTTGCGCCTGCCAGACCTAAGACTGGCGTTTGGCCATCCCCTGTGCCATGTCTTGCTGTCTGCTCCCCTCTTCCAGCCGCCCCTTCCCAGTCTTTCCATACCCCAACCTGTTTCAGACCAGAGGGGCTGAGTTAATACTAGCACTCACTACTTGCAGCCACTAGGCTAAATGCTGTGGTCATTTTCCAGTTAATTATCAAAGCAATCTCATAAAGCAGGAATTGAAAGTACCCCCGTTTTGCATTTGAGGAAACCAAGGCTCGGCCCTTATTGCCCAGTTGGTGGTGGAGGACATCAGAGCAGAGAGCCTGTGCTCTTAACCATGACGCTGTGCTGGCACAGGTGGACCTGGAACCAGACAGGGTGAGGACTGGCCGAAGCCTTGGCACAGGTACAGTTAGAGGGAGGGACGGAGCCCACCTCCTCACATTCCTCTTTCCTGAGAGTGTCGGTGCAGGGAGGCCCCCAGGAGGTATTGCTTGCTGTGCGGTCCTCAGGAGGAGGTTTAAATAGAGCCTGGGTGCCAGGTTTGTGTTTTGTCTTCCAGTTCCTTATTTTTGCCAGAAGTATTTCTCATCTTTTCTGTTTCAAATTGAGATAGTCGGTAACTGCTGCCTAAGTAAGACTCTGATCTCTGTGGAGGATGTCGCCCAATTCAAGTCTTGGAGTGTTTCGAGGACCTCACAGATTCCATAAGCACATCGACTTACCCCGAGTTGGCCACTCTGGAAGTAGGAGGCTCCCTTCAGGGCACAGCACAGGCCCATCCACCCCATCCCCAGAGTGTGGGAGGAAGCTTCTGACTCAGTGACAGCATCCATCCCAACCAAGGGTGGGAGGAAGCTTCTGACTCAGTGACAGAGAGTGAGGCCTGGAGACTGAGTGACCTGCTTCCCATTAAAACGATGAACTCCTGCCCAAGTTTGGCGGCAAAGACATGGTCGATTCTACCACAGGCAAGTTGTTTCCTGAGGGGGAACATCCTTTTGGCAGGAGCAATAGGTCCTTCTGAGCTTTGTGCTCTATTCTTACTGCATCTTCACATCTACCTTCTCCATATTTCATAGATGAAGAGCTGGGCCCAAGAGAGATCACTGCTACGGGTCCATTGTGTCCCCCAAAAGTTCACGTATTAGACACTTGATCTCCATTGTAACAGTGCTGAGGGCGGGAAATCCAATTGTACTGTTGGAAAGGCAGGGCCTTGGAGAGGCGATTAGATCTTGAGAACTGTGCCCTCATGAGTGGATTGATCCATTCATGGAGCAACGGGTTGATGGTTTAATAGGTTGTCATGGGCATGATTCTGATGGCTTTATAAGGAGAACCAGTGAGAAGGCTAGCTCTCTCTTCATGCCACTCTCTCGCTGTGTGATACCCTGAGTTACTGTAGAGTCACCACCCAGAAGGCCTTCACCAGATGTGTTCCCTGGACTTTGGACTTCCTGGCCTCTGAAACTGTAAGAGATAAATTTTATTTATTTATAAATTACCCAGTTTCAAGTATTCTGTTATAAGCAATAGAAACGGACTAATACAGTCACCCAGCTGTTAAGTGGTAGGCATCGGGACTGGAACCAGGGCCAGCTTGGACCACAGCTTTATAAATTACCCAGTTTCAAGTATTCTGTTATAAGCAATAGAAACGGACTAATACAGTCAGTCACCCAGCTGTTAAGTGGTAGGCATCGGGACTGGAACCAGGGCCAGCTTGGACCACAGACTCTGTTCTCATCTCACACTTCTCTTTGGTTCACGTGTTCTATGTCAATCTCTCTCTTAATGTGAACTGTAAATACAGGAAGGTGTCTGGCATATCTATGTAGAATCATGAAGTGGTCATCTGTGTAACCACCACCAGATTAAGAAGTCTGTAGGCTCCTCCTTCCCCTAGACTCGAGTGCTTGTCACTTTCTCACATAAGTTGAGTCAAATCTTTGTGTGCATCCCTTAATTTTGCTGTTTTCAAACACATAAATGGAACCCTACTGATGGATCTTTTCTTTCCCTCAAGGTTTTGAAATTCATCTACGTCAATGCATGTAGCTCCTCATTTTCAAGGTAATGTAGCAATCATTGAATGAATACACAATTTAACTAGTATTTTATTGATGGGCATTTGAGATAGTCTTAATTCAAGGCTCTTATGGGTAAAGCTGCTATGAAAATTGTCTTTTGGAATATGAATGACTACATTTCTGTAGGATATACATGTGGGAGTGGAACTCCGGGATCAGAGTATGAGCATCTCCAAAGCTGTTGACATTTTCCACAAGTGTTTTCCAAAGTGTTGGACCAGCAGAATATGAGACCTCCCATTGTTCCACGTCTTCAACACTAATGTAATCAGCTCTTTTCACCTCACCAATCTATTGGGTTTATAGTGGTCTCTCACTGTAACTTTAATTTACATTTCTCTGACAAATAATATGGTTGCCTGCTTCTCCATGTTTATTATCCATTTAGATTTCCTCGTTTGCAAAGTGCCTGTTGAAGTGTTCACCCACTCTTCTATTAGGTTCTTTTTCTCTTTAAATTATTCATAGGATTGGGCCGACCCCGTGGCGCACTCGGGAGAGTGCGGCGCTGGGAGCACAGCGACACTCCCGCCGCGGGTTCGGATCCTATATGGGAATGGCTGGTGCGTTCACTGGCTGAGCGCGGTGCGGGCAACACCGCACCAAGGGTTGCGATCCCCTTACCGGTCACTAAAAAGACAAAAAAAAAAAAAAAATTATTCATAGGATTGG